CCTTTCTGAGGCAGGAAACCTCTCCTGATCAACAGCAGTGGCCTATAAAACGTGTGTGTGTGTTTTTTTAACTGTGGTCCACAATAAAAAATACACTTATATTGTGAAGCAGCACCCACGTATGTATACGAGTAAATAAACCTAGCCATTTTTACTCTTAGTATGCATGATGTACTCTTGATATTTTCTCGTCTCTACCCTTTTTATTGTTGTAGTTTTTGTTGAGTGCCATTTGATTGGTGGCTAAGGCTCTGGGCAAGGACTCCACCAGTGGGTATATAGATCTGAGTTCAAAGGTATTTTCCTTCAGTTCTTTAAAGATCCTGTTCTAGTCCCTTCTCTTCTTGTACCCCGTCTTGTCAACCGTGTTGTTAGAAGTCTGATGCCTTTCTGATTTCTTTGTAGGTAATTGTTTTCCTCTTCTGATAGTTGGCAGGATTTTATTACTATTCTTTTTTTTTAAATATATTTTATTGATTTTTTACAGAGAGGAAAGGAGAGAGATAGAGAGTTAGAAACATCGATGAGAGAGAAACATCGACAGCTGCCTCCTGCACATCGCCCACTGGGGATGCGCCCGCAACCCAGGTACATGCCCCTGACCGGAATCGAACCTGGGACCTTTCAGTCCGCAAGCCGATGCTCTATCCACTGAGCCAAGCCGGTTTCGGCGAGTATTCTTAATGTTTTGAAGGTTTACTATGCTTATTGTGGGTGTGGACTTATTTCTGTTTACATTTCTCTCTGTTCCTTTTGAGTTTTATCCTTTCTTACCGTATTTGCCGGCGTATAAGACGACTGGGCGTATAAGACGACTCCCTAACATTTCCACTCAAAATACAGAGTTTGTTATATACTCGCCGTATAAGACTACCCCCTCTTCCGCACACCTTCCACACACCAAATAAAAGGTAAAACAGTATCAGATTTGATTTTAACATTTTAATTTATATTCAAATGCTTATGACATGCAGGAAAACTGTCACAAGGCTGTATGTAATCAAACATATACATAAAACAGTGCAAGTTTATTACCGGTAAACATACCGGTAATTCACTAAAGAAAACACACTCTATAGACTGGTACCGTAGATGCTTCTCAGGAACACAGGCAAGCAGCCCACAACCTAGAGGGACTGTCAATGATAGAAGTAAGATAACAAATAGAGGTAGAGAGCAAGTGCCGGGCAAGTCCCTAGCAA